TCACGGAAGACCTTATAGTGATTCTACTGTTTCTTATTATTATTATTATTATTATTATTATTCTTATTTTTTAGACAAATTTTGTGCACGCAATATCTTGAGAACTATTCAGTGGTTTTTCTTCAAACTTTCAGGGATAATGCAATTTAAAATGCCATTGTTACATTTGAAAGAATTTTAGAGAAATTCGCTTCCGGTTCCAAGTTATGGACATTTTTCTGATTTTGAAATGACATTTTATCCGAGCGAGATCTAAAGAACGGCTAAAGATATGAACTGGAGACTTGTTGGAGAGCATAGAGCATGACTTTTAAATATGCGGGTTTGCCTTTTCGTGCGTCGTGAGTACTTCCGGTCGCTACCGGAAGCGAATCTAAAAAGTCAATTTTTTCAACTTTCACGTTTCTCAATATTTTTCTTTGATTTTAATAGGGTTAATAGAGACTCTTATTGTAATGCTTAATATATAATTTGTTTTTAAAATTGTCTACCAGAATACATTTTAAAAATAGATTTTTTAGACAAATCTTGTGCACGCAATATCTCAAGAACTATTCAATGGTTTTCCATCAAACTTTCAGGGATAATGCGCTATAAAATGCCATTGTTACATTTGAAAGAATTTTGGAAAAATTCGCTTCCGGTTCCAAGTTATGGACATTTTCTGATTTTGAAATGAAATTTTATCCGCGCGAGATCTGAAGAACGGCTTAAGATATGAATTGGAGAATTGTTGGAGAGCATGGAACATGACTTCTAAATGTGCGGGTTTGCCTTTTCGTGCGTCGTGAGTATTTCCGGTCGCTACCGGAAGCAAATTAAAACAGTCCATTTTTTCAACTTTTACGTTTTTTAATATTTTTCTTTGATTTAAGTAGGGTTATATTCCTTTATAGATGCAAGTTACCGAACATAATAGGTATCAGATTCCTTGAGCGTCATATGGCGAGACGTGTTTTGTTGCAAAACATTCAAGACTTTTCATTAATGTGTTACTTATTGGAATAGTCCACTTTGGGGGTAAAGAGGAATAAAAAATTTGTCAGAAAACTTAGCGCTGCCTTTATGTTACTTGCCCGTATACGATATGTTATATGTACAGTGTGATAAATAAACATTCTTAGGCTCGAAAATCAGGCTATAGCAACATATTTTTTTTTTCTAAATTTCATTGAAGATATCACGTACACTTATTCAATTGAAGACACATTTCAAAGAAAAGGTGCGAAGATTTACTCGTGACGTTTGGCGCGAAATAATGTACCTTGACCCGCCTCTCACAAATGGTCTGATGCAGTAGTGTAGAAGTACAGAAGAAGATTACACGGACATGTCTGTATTTGGAATTGCATAGAATAGAAAGCTGAATGCATAAAGAATAAAGGAAGTAAACACAATAGTTCTTTTTAGTTTTTATCAGTAACAGATTATTTTTTTCTCTGCTATCAGTTATTATTAAAACTCAAGTAACAAATTCGATGTAAATCTAGACTAGCACTTGCACAAAATTTAGCTGGCTGGTTTTCATCCTATAATTCCGCACTATAAGAAAAAAAAAATAACCTACCTAACACTAGTTACTTCAGGGAATGAGTGCAAGGTAAACATTGATGATGGCTGGTACATTGCGCTAGTGTAGTGGTTTCAATATTAAAGAACAAGGTTCACTTAGGGCCTTTTTGGCCCTGTGAATTTCAGAAAAACTGAAACTGCTTGGTTTTAGTTGACAATGCATTAAATATCATTTAGACCTTTGATGACTGCGTATCTATCAAAAATGACGTAATTTTCTGGCTAGCCTATGCATTAAGACGTCATGAAATGCGTCATTTTCCTCATATCCTGAAAATTTCTAGAAAACAGCCAATTTTTAAAGCTATTTTTCGATATTTAATATAGGACGTAACCTCTGATCTTAACTATGCAACAATTAAATGATAGAACTATTTCTAAGGATTATAAAACCTGTTGTATTTTTTAGATCAGAGGATGCGCTCACATTATTTCTCTTCTTTCTTTTTTTAAAACTAAAACTTGCATCACTTTATTGTATCTCTTTCGCTGTTTTAAAATATGTTAGATTCCACCGGAAATAATCATCAACTTCCGGTCTATTGCTCGGCAACAGTAAACGACTGAAGTCTAAAACTTTCAGGACTGATAGTCAGTCATCAGTTTATTTGAATCGTGACAAAATCTTGTATCGCCGTTACTTCCGATCGTGACAGGAAGTGATGCAAAAAAGGGAATGGTTAATGGTTAGCACGTTGGATTTTCAGGCTGACGACCAGGGTTAAATCTCCAGAGTGTCTCTTTCGGTTCCAAATTATGGACAATTTCCTGATTTTTAAATAGAATTTTGTCAGCGAATGATCTAAAGAACGGTTTAGTATATGAACTGGAGACTTATTGAAGAAGACAGATCATGACCTTTAGATTTGCAGAATCATCTTTTTGTGCGTCGTCACTACTTCCGGTTGCTACCGGAAGCGAATTTAAAAAAGTGATTTTTTTCAACTTTTTTGTTTTTCAATTTTCTTTTTATTTTAGTAAATTTAAGAGAGACTCTTCTGTAAATGCTAAATATATAATTTGTTTTAAAACTGATTAATCCAAACTCTAGATATTCGCATTTTAAAATTTGAAGCGGGTCCAAAATGGCGGCTATCTCCGCAAACTCCGACGAGCAGGTCGGCACTCGGAGCTCCTCGGGTGGCTCGTACCTCGCACACTAACCTCGGACGTCAACGGTGTTCTTCCATGTTGCTGATGTGTTTGTATGTTCGTATGAAGCCTGGCGGAGTCAGCCGAGGATTGCCGATTGGCAGGTCGGATTTTGTGGAGACAACCGAGCGTCTTGTTGAAGGAAATACCATAAGGATCAATGAATGTGAAGGAATTGTTAGATCTGGATCATTTTAGAAATTGATAATTTGTCTTTGAAAACATAAATACTCGGACCTCCAAATGCAATTAAATAAGTAATATGTACGGTACATACAATGATATATATGAGAATCGAAACCATTTAATAGAACATACATTTCAAAGAAAAGGCGCGAAGATTTACTCGTGAGTTTGGCGCGAAATGATGTGACTCTCCTTTCAAAGTAGAAAAATAGTCTGATGCAGAAGTACAGAAAAAGATTACGTGGAATAAAAAGTTGAATACATAAAGAATAAAGGAAGTAAACAGTATCATCAGTTCATCAGTAATAGATTATTTGTTATTGTTTAAACTCAAGTAACGAATTCCGATGTGAATCAGCTTGCACAAAATTTGGCTAGCTAGCTCTCATTCTATAATTCCGCACTATATAAAAAAAAACTTTTAACCTCCCTGACGCTCGTTACCTCAGGCAATGATACAAAGTAAACATCGATGATGGCTGGTAAAATTGCGCTGGTGTAGTGGCTTCCATATTGAATTTTCATGAAGGCGAACTGGGTTTAATCCCGAATTTGTTTGCTTAAATTTACATTTTCAACTTTATAAATGATGCTGAGTGTTTTTGTTTTTGTTAGAGATGATAGAACATGATTTCTAGGTTGGCGAAGGGACCTTTTCATGTGTCGTCGTTAGTTCCGGTCGCTTGCAGAAGCGAATTTAAAAAATCGATTTTTTTTATCTTCAATATTTTTCTGTATTATCTGTAGGGTAAAGAGAGCCTCTTTTCAAAATACTAAATATATAATTTGTTTTCGAATTGATAAATCCAAACTTTTGATATTCGTCATTTTCACTTTGAAGCGGGAGTTGAAATGGCGTAATGGTTAGGACGTTGGATTTTCACGCTGACGACCAGGGTTAAATCTCCGGAGTGTCTGATTTCTTTTTCACTTTTTCAGCTTGAATTTACATTTTTATTTTCAAAATTGGACGGAAGACCTCTCATTGCTCGCAATGAGTTTCTAGTTATTATTATTTTTCTTCTTCTTCTTCTTCCTGGGTACTTTTTTGTCCGCGAGTGATCTCGTCAACTACTCATCCGATTGAGGTGAAACCTTTTTAGGGTTAATAGGCATGTTTTGTAGATATGCGGAATCAAGGTCATTTTGCGCGCACGTGCATGCACGTGCGTGCGCGTGCAATGCGTAAAATGACCAATATACTTGATATAGCTGTAACTTTTATATTTTTTGATGAAATGCTTTGATACTCAGAATATAAGGATATATTAGAAGTGAAAACAAGATGACATGGTCAACATGCACATGCATGCACGTGTGCGCAGGCGCAAAGCGTAAAATGACAAATATACTTGATATAGTCGTAACTTTGATACTTTTTGATGAAATGCTTTGATACTCAAAATATTTATATATATTAAAAGTGTAGACAAGATGACATGTCATCATGCACATGCATGCATGCATGCATATGCATGCACGTGCGCGCGCGTGCAATGTGTTAAATGACCAATATACTTAATATAGCCGTAATTTTCATATTTTTTTATGAAAAGCTTTGATATTAAGAATATACAGATATATTAAAAGTGTAGACAAGATGATGTGGACATCATGCTCATGAATGCACATGCGCGCGCGTGCAATGTGTTAAATGACCAATATACTTAATATAGCCATAACTTTTATATTTTTTTTATGAAAAGCTTTGATACTAAGAATAAACAGACATATTATAAGTGTAGACAAAATGGCATGGTCATTATGAACATGCATGCAGGTGCGCATGCGTGCAATGCTAAGATGACCAATATACTTGATATAGCCGGAACTTATATATTTTTTGATGGAATGTTTTGATACTGAGAATATAAAGATGCTTTTATAGTATAGATGAGATGACATGGTCATCCTGCACATGCATGCACGTGCGCACGCGTGAAATGCAAAAAACGATCAATATACTTCATTGCCTTATTTAATGAAGCTTACAGGAAATAAGACACCAAAAGGGTGTTGGGGAGCGTTTGGGGAACATCTGTAACGGTCCCCGTTACAATTATAACTAGTTCTTAGACGTTTTTCACTAGGCAAATGGAAAGGATATTGCAATGTGCAAATTGAACAAAGATTTGATGAAGACAATGATGAGCTTGAAGGGAATGACAGGGGAACAAAAGCGTTGTCTAGAGGCATTTATGAATTGTAAACCTCTGGTGGAATGGATCAGGGGATCCATGAAATGTATGTGGTTTTAATCTAAATTCAAATATTGTGAATTCAGGATATGTATCATTTTTAAAGATGTTTTTATTTTGACTATGGTTTAAATTTTGTTCTTTTCTTTATAAAAGGTTGGATGGAGTTAGTAGTGTTTATTGACCTTGCCAGTATAACTGCTGAAGACGATGAAATGGGAGTTTATATGGTAAATTGTTTTCATGCGGCAACAACTGGATATCGTCCACTTATTTTCAACCTGGATAGAATGTACGACTTGAAGTTTTTTCTAGAAAAATGTGAGCTTGTTTGGAAAGAGCTTATATCAGATCCAAACCTACCAGAAAAACTGGCAAGTACATTGCTCTGTGCATATGAACAATTTCTTTATGATGTTTTTTTCTTTTTTGTTTTCTTTTTTAGCTCACCTGAGCTGAAAGCTTAATTGAGTTTTCTTGATCACATTTTTGTCTGGCGTTTACGCCTGTCACATTTTTGACTTCTTCTCAAGAACAAATTGGCCAATTGCGACCAAATTTGTCACAAGGCATTCTCGGGTGAAGGGAATTCGAATGGAGGGCTACATCTTCTTTCAAGATGAGATAATTAAGATTTAATAAAAATTTGATTTCATCTTTTAAAAATCTCCTTCTCAAGAACCATTGGGCTAGAAAAGTTTTAACTTATGTGAAACGCTCATCACATAGGGTAGATTCAGATTTGTTCATATCATGACCCAAGGGGGAAGGGTGGAGTCACAATGGGGGATCAAAGTTTTACATAGGAATTTATAGGGGAAATCTTTAAAAATCTTCTTCTCAAGAACAAGATTAGACATATTGATATGAAAGCATCCTCAGGTAGTGTAGATTGAAGTTTGTTCAAATCATTTGTTCAAATCATGACCCCTGGGGGTAAAGTGGGGCTACAATAGGGAATCAAATTATTAATTAGGAATATATAGGAAAAATATGTAAATATTTTCTTCCCAAGAACAACAAAGCCACAATTAGTCAAATTGATCGGATAATCTTTGAAATTCTTCTTTTCAAAAATAAGAAAGCTAGGATTTAAAATATTGATATGAAAGCATCCTCAGGAAGTGTAAAACCAATTTTTTGTTCAAATCATGACCCCGGGGTATGGTGGGGCCACAATTGGGGATCAAATTTTTACATAGGAACATATAGGAAAAAAAACTATTAAAAATCTTCTCAAGAACAACAAAGCCACGTTTAGTCATATTGATATGGAAGCATCCTTAGATAGTATAGATTTAAGTCTGTTCAAATCATGATCCCTGGGACTAAGGTGGGGCCATAATGGGGGATCAAAGTTTTACATAGGAATAAATAGGAACAACTTTTAAAAATCTTCTTCCCGAGAACAACAAAGCCACGATTAGTCATATTGATATGGAAACATCCCCAGGTCGGTCGTGTAGATTAAAGTTTGTTCAAATCATGACCCCCCCCCCCCCCCCGCCCCGGAAGGGTGGCAGACATCTTTAAATTTCTTTTTTCAAGAACAGCAAAGCCATGATTAGTCATATGAATATGAAATATCTTCAGATAGTTTCGATTCAATTTCTTTCAAAACATGACACCTGTGGGTAGGGTGTGGCTAGAGCAGGCGATCAAAGCTGAATATATAGGAGAAGAAATCTGCTGATGAAGAAAAGCAGGGCCATATTTGTCTCAGGTGAGCGTTGTGGCCCATGGGCTTCTTTTTTTGCAAAAAGACTTTGAGCTCTTTTGATCAAATGTTATTTGTTTATATAGCCTCTGCTGTTTATTATGTGTCTTTCACATTTCTGACAAGCAGGATTTTTGACACATTGATACATTTGTTTTCTTTTATGATTTTCCCATCCAATGAAAATATTAGATGGGGGTATTCTGAGGATGTTTTAGAAACAAAAAATAGGAAACTTTCTTTAAAAAAAAATAGATATCTTAATATGCAGTTGGAATTTCTTAAAGAGATTTGTCAATTGAAAATGTGTCAGGCTTTTTCAATTATTAATTGAAGACTATTTATCGGCCAGTATTCAGAATTCTTGTCTGGGCTAATACAACATTATGTAACTTCAACTTGAAGAAACAGAAGCTTCTTCTTTGAAAACTTATTGTGGCTTGTGACTAGAGAATATGACATTTCTCTGAACGAAGATCATTTTTTATATCAAGTTTATTCCAGTGTAAATGTAACACATGTTTTCCAAAAAAATTAAGGTTATAAAATATAAAATGTCTTTAAGTTGATAAAGATAAATCTGGAATATCTTCATAGTAATCCAATATACTCAATAGACAAAACTTTTTAAATCATAATTAGTCCAGAATATTTCTTAAATCCATAAGGTATAGTATTCAGGGTTTTGTTAGGAAAAAATTGAGAGAGCAAGAGAGAGAATGAGACAGGGAAAGAGAACAGAATGAAGAAAAAAGTAAAGACAGTTTTTTGTTTCCTGAGACAATCAAAGACACCTATTGGATTGCAATTTTTTGTGTATCTCGGGTCGATCGTATATATATATATATATATATATATATATATATATATATATATATATATATATATATATATATATATATATATATATATATATATATATAAAACATTTTCAGCTTCTCTTTGGGAATGGTTCATTTAACTTAATGTAATTTTGGTACATGTATATAACACCTTTCGGTCAAGCTAGTGGAACGAAATTGTAAATTTCAAGGTCACACAATGGGAATAAAGGTGAGGCAAAAACAATGAAAAGAAATGCAATCTTCAAAAAATCGTCTTTACTCTTTGACATTCACCATGTAAACTGTCGGCATGATAATGAATGCAATATTATTAAATCAAATGGTGTGAAAATCATAGTCCCTTGTTCAAGGATGCACATTGAAGGGTTCGGCTAGCTTGGACATGTACAGGTGTATTGCAAATTAATCATTTTACAAAAAAGTGAGCCTAAATAACAATTTGTATGTTACAAACAAATTTAACTGTTTAACATCATTTTGTCCATGATTTAAAAAAGATTCTAATTCAACTCTAAAAGTTGATGCATATGTGCATGATTTTGTATATATATGTAACCTTAAATGAAGTTGAACGTGGTATTACATGTACATGTATATGGAGTCGTAGAGTAACGAAATACTGAGCTGTCTGGAGCTTGGTGGCAGAAAATGATTTTACTTCCCTAACCTTATTGTATTAAATTTCAATTTCACACAACCTTGCAGAACAGACAATAAAATGAAACTTACTTAAAAGTTGAACTTCGAAAGATCGATTCTAGATGCGAGTCAGATAATTATGTCCATTATTTTTTCGACAAAACAAAATGAATTAGACAAAAGTTTTATCTCTCTGAAGAATTTAACTTCAAAGATGTAATCAAGGATTTTTTTGTTTTTATATGTAAAAAGTTTAATAATTTTTTAAACGAAATACGTATTATTTTTGGTAAACTAAACAAACGTTAACGATTTTACCAGGAAATTTTAAGTCAGCACCAGATTCGTGTCAGATTCAAAAATCATGTTTTACCGTTCCATATTCAACATCAGAAAACAAATAATAGGTTAATTTAAGGTTTACTTCAATAATAATGAGTCTTGTTTAGGCATTTATTGCTTTTTGAGTAAATCGAATACCTTAATAAATGTTAACGATACTAGATTTATAGATAAATCTTTTTTCCAAGTACACTGCTCTTTAGAAAGTTAAATTGTTGAATGGGCTATTTAAAGGAATTTTTTATGTTATATACCCTGAATTGGTCCTTTAAATATCTGATATGCATTATATCTAATGATATATTTCTCTTAAACTGACTATCGACAAATTCCAAAATTTCCTTATTCACTTATGTAATTATGTTCCCAAAACGAAGTTTGGGAACACATTGTTTTTACTTTCTTTTTTAAGAAATACTACTCATCCGATTGAGATGAAACCTTTTTAGGGTTAACAGGCATGTTGTGTAGATGTGCGGAACGAAGGTCATTTCGCGCGCACTTGTATGTACGTGCATGCGCATGCGAGGAGTAAATTGACTGATACAATTGAAACAGATTTAACCTTCCTATTTTTTTTTTTGATGATATGCTTTGAATCTTATTATATAAACATATACTTATAGTGGTGCACACAAGATGAGGTGGTTGAATTAGCAAGAAAGCATGCGCATGCACGTGTGCTTCGCTCTGATTGGCTGACACAAAAAAATCTCAATAACCTTGGTTTTTGACGAAATACTTTGAAAATTTAAACATAATAGTCATACATAAGGAGGTTCTACATCATGATCCATGTAAATATGACATATCGTGAAAATGCGCGGATGCACGTGTGCTGCAATTTGATTGGCTTAAACTTTAAATAACTGTAACTTAGTTTTCAACAAAACAGGATGAAATTTAGAAATATAGATAGGTATAACGAGTTCCTACATTGTGCTACTATCAAAATCAAATGCAAGAACATGCATGCACGTGTGCTGGATTTTGATTGGCTAATACCTATATGGTTGTCTCTCATACTATAGTTTTCAATGAAGATGTTTGAGATTTCTTACATAGGTATTTATTGTGAGTCACTTCACGAGGAAGACATGGGCATGCGCGTGCTCTGAAATCTGATTTGCGAATACTCAAAGGACCATACCGGCGTTGTTTTTCGATTAAATATTTCTGAAAATAAAATGTAGATTTATTACAAAATAGAATCACCAAATTTAATGAAGCTTGTGGGAGTGGGACCCATAAGGGAGTGGATGAGTGATTGGGGAACATCTGTAACGGTTTCCGTTACAATTAGCATTCGTTACCTCTGCGTTTAGAAAGTTTTATCTTCTGAATTTTGAACAAATGTAGTTTTACACAATTATTAAATACGTAAGAAGCTATGATATTACATGCGTCTCAGTTTGTTTAACTTAATGAGGATATCCTTTTTTAATAGCTACCTGTACATATCCTTTATTTGCAAATAAAATCACTTAAATCAGCTGAAATATACTTTTTTTTTAGCATATGAGACAAGTTTTAGAGTCAAACTGATGACTAGAAATTTGCATTGGCATGTATTTCATATTTTCATCATAATCCAGCAGGTGCTATAATTTGTTTGGGTATTTCTTGGGCCTGTCTTGGATCCAAGGATAAGGCAACAAGGTTAAGATAGTTGGTCATAAATTCCTTATACATTTCATTCTTGATTTTCTAGGAATCAAAATGTATTAATATTATAATTATTACAAATTCATGATCTCCAATGAGACCAGAGTTCAGGTTCAGTTGGGGCTAAAGTGGTCATTATAGATCAGTGATCGTCAAAACTCGTGGTCTTCTTGTTACAGCAAACAATTTATTTTTATTTCAATGGGTATTCACGGTCTCATTAAGTATTTTAAACTGAATTTTAAAAATCTATTCCTCTCACTCTTGTCCATATATATACCTATGCCCATTGACCAATGAGCCCGAAGATGACAGATTTCTCAAATTAAAAAATGCCCATAATTGTTACATTTATGGGATCAGTCACCATGCAGCATATTACAACAGAGGTTCTAACAATTTTGAAAAAAAGCTCTTCAACGTATCTTACTGAAAGTTTCTAGTTTTTACTGCTTGTTCTCAAGAATTTTAGTGGTAACTATGCGTTTCCTACAGGTTTGATTCGTATTTTCTAATTGGTTCTACCATTTCCAAAAATATATATCTTGATATTGCATGTAATAGCGTACATCACCACGAACTAACTTTCCTTGGTTAACTTGGTGGTCGCTGCTAGTTTGAACTGGTGACCATGCGTGCCTAAAAGGTTTGAGTGGTTACAGAGAATAGCTCTTAACGATGCAAAGTTTTTGTCATTGTTTCAATATTATTAACTTGTAAGCTTTGCTTGGTATGTGAATGGAAGAGTAATTCCTTATAAAAATTCATTATGATCGTAAAGGTAACTATTTGTAGATTGTAACCGAAAGGAATTTGGAATGGTATAAAAGTGTTGAATGCTCCCTGGGTTCTGTGCCAGTGACATCTATAAAACAAGCAGAAGCCATCAACTCTGGAGGAATATACATGCTTGGAAAAATTTATCCAAATATGCCAAACGAGAATTTAGTAAGTACTTACATGGTATAAAGTAAAATATACTTTATCCCTCATCAGACAAATTTGTAGAATATTGATTGGCTAAAAAACAGATCACATGACGCCCTGAACTCGGGCGAACGATTCTGATCTCTGTGTTTCTGACAAATAGCGACAAGCAGACGGTTTGTTTGTTGAAATTTATTGTATGTATCTTTTGTGTAATACTGAGAATATATTTTATTCGATGATATTTTGAATTATAAGGCTTCGCCTTGCCCAATACGGATTTCCATTTCACATCCTGGATGGCTCCTTATTATGTTTCAAACTGTATAACTAATAGTACCTATTGCAAAAGCACAATAATCCTGTAGAAAGAATAGCTTTAAGATGTTTTTGAAGTCTACGGCCATAAAATCTTGTCAGTTGATGCATTTTGGTGAGAAGGTTTGAAGCAACCGCAAGGTAGGTCATGATGACGTCATTTTGGAATTTTCTAGCCATACTCAGTCAAATAGTGTCTGGATCTATTCTAGATCATATATAGTAAAATGTAAGACCTGGGACCTCCAAATCTGGTCAGTTGATGCATTTGAGTGAAAATAGTGTCACAATCCGAAAGTAGTTGGCGTTGGTCTCATTTTGGAATTTTATGTCTATACATTGCCAAAGTGTGTCCTGGCATATCTTGTACGCCGGAAGGAACATCAAAAAATGGTCACTTGATGCATTCGGTGGGGGGGGGGGGGGACGTATAGTGACCGGAAAAAGTTCAATGTGGTCTAATTTTAGAAAGTCGGTGCCTTTTATGAAATATTTTCAGGGTCAACAAAAGTTTTCCAGAAACCTTCCTCAAAATATATTGAAATTTAGTTGCCCTGGTTTTCTTTTTCTTTTTTAAGACAAGAGGGAAACCAATATTGGAAATTCAGTTATTGTTTTAATTTGTAAATCATCTTAGTCACTCAGATAACCTATTACTTTCCATATGGTCAAACGATTGTTGTTTGTTGTCCGTCCACCTGTTAGTGTAGCTGACTTTCTGGTTTTTTGTTTTTGTTTTGTTTTTGTTTTACAATTCTTTTTTCCCATGCGTATTTGACAAATGTTGGTGTCATTTAAACAAAACTTAACAAGGATTGTCCCGAATGACGAGGGAAAAAAGTTTGTTAAGGTAAAGATATTCAAAAAGCTTCTCCAAAAGCGGGAAATTTGACAATAAATCATCTTATCATCCCTTTTCAGTGCAAATGATTTGTGTTAAATTCTGATATCTATAATAGGGCTGAAATTGGGAATAATTTTTCTAAGAAATAAAAGTAATTATCTTATATGAAGGAACAAGGCCACAATTATTTTTAATGCATTTTCAACATTCTCAAATCACGTAAATTAAATCAGGAAATGCTTTGGATGCTATGCCAGACATTTCTTTGGGATAGTGAAAATTCAAAGGTTTTGCAGCAGATCCATTCTCAATATAAGCGAAGTCCTACCCAGACTAAACTTGCATGGTAAGGATGCATGTGCATAGCACTAGAACATCCAATTATTGTAAGCCTTAGCATTAAATAAAGACGGAATTTTGCGAGTTAAGCTTATACTGTAATAACTGATTACCTAGTTTGTTAATACATTACACTCGATATTTCAATATATAACTAAAATTCAAAGTCTGAAGAAGAAAAAAAAATAAATGTAAAGCTGTAATTTCTGAGATTGATTTATAGCGAGTACGGATACGGGGCTGTAAACTTTACTTTAATGCTTCATGCTGTAACATTACTGCATTTTAATCAAATGCTCATAAAAATATGTGAGATATGTGATTATTTATAGAAATATTTAAGCTGTAAAATTTTAAATGATATTAACGTCTAAGTTGGGATCATTTGTATTTCATCTCATGAGCTCATTTTCACTGGATTCATTATTTTTCAGTGTGTTTCACTATGCGACTACAGTAAGCCGATACTTTTTGATGTTTGGAAAATAAAATGTTTGTGAGTTTCAGATAACCATTGGTGAGATATCTGTGTAATGAATGCAAATAAAACCATTAAGATTTCATTTAAAACATCTACTGGGATACTATGTTGATATGTGTTGGTCAAAAGGTCGAACCCTTTGGTTGCTATAGGGTGGAACATATGACAAAATGGTTTTTATCTCCCTAGAGATGTTTAAAAATGAAAATAATACCTCATTTCCTAAGAAAATATGTGCTGTACTTTTAGAGTCTAGAAGATGTACTTCAACTGTATGTTCAGATAGACAGCACAGGTCGTAGGTCAAAAACAAGGTTTATGTATAAAAAACTCCAAGAACTTCAGCACAAAATAATGATGGTAGACAGCAAGGAAAATTGCAACAGAGATGAAGCTGAAAATTTTGTCAAGGTAAGAATGTCATTAAATATTGTAATTATATTTGAAAATCTTTATGCTATGCATCTGAGCCTGTAAAGTGACATATGTTACAAGGAACTGATTTAGTGAGATAAAATTCTTCATTTTAAAGTTCTGATCTTTTTTTTTTTTTTTTTTTTTTTTTTTTTTTGAGAAAAAATAAATGGTTGTAAAGATATTGGTTATAAATGGATTCATTTTAGCTTACCAGAGCAAAAGCCTCAAGTGAGCTTTTCTGATCGAAATGCGTGCGTTCTTTCCCATCCGCGTTTGCGCCATTGCAATCTTTTCACATTTTTATCTTCTCCTGAACCGCTTGGCCAATTTCAACTAAACTTGACTTAAAACATCCTTGTTTGAAGTATTCAAGTTGTTTTAAAGAAGGGCCATGCCTTCTTTCTTGGAGAGATAAGAAAGAATTTGATAAATGTCATGACAAATTTCAAACTCTAGTTCTCAAGAACTAGTAGGTGAGAAAATATGAATCTTACGTGAAAGCTTCATTACATAGCGTAGATGTAAGTTTGCTCAAACATTACGCATTGGGATAGGTTGGGACCTCAATAGGCGTTTTAAATTTTACATAGGAACATAACGGAAAAATGTTTTAAGATATTTTGCTGAAAAACAACTGGGCCACAAGAGTTGAAACTTGTATGCAAGCTTCATTACAAAGTATAGATTCAAGGAATACATAGGATTATGTAGGAAAAAATATTAAAAAAAATCTTTTCAAAACCAGCAAAGGCATGATTAGTCACACTGAAAGAAAGCATCCTCATGTAGCGTACCAGATATTCAGATTTGTTCAGATCATGACCTCTCTGGTGGGAATGGGCCACAGTTGACGAACAAAGTTGTACATAGGATTATGCAAGTACAGAAAAAGCATGATCAGCCATTTAAAATGTCATTCCTGTCAAATTATGTCCTGGTATGCTAAAATTACTCGTCTTATGTTGCAGAATTAAATGTTAGATTTTTAAACACATCATTAGCATCAAAGTATTTTTATAATGGGAAAACGAAGGAATTATAATACTTATCATGTCCCCTCACATATTGTTTAACTTGTTTTGAAATCATTTTGTTAATATGTTTATATGATCACATTTACTCCAACTTGTAAGGAATCTTACCTTAAACTAGACATTGCTAGAGATTCCTTATTTGCACGAACATCGTTTTCGGAATGAATCTTTTTTTCTTTAACAATAATGTGCTTCTTCATATAGAGAATGCAATTTGTAATTTAATTCTAGGTATTTGATTCAGTTGTAAGACTTTGCAATGTGTACATCAAGCTTGTGTCATCTGGTTGTGTGCTGTTCTCAAGCTGGCAGGCCAGGTTCCTCTGTGATCCCAACAGAAAAGTGTGTGCGTTTGTAAAATTTGGAAATGGGGAAGTCCAGTTAAAAGGAAGGAGAACGAAGGATGAGGAAATAAGTACTATAATCCCTAGACTTGCCAAATTCATGGAAAACTGTCTGGAAAAATGGCTGAAATATATTGATCAGAAAAGGGATGAGTACCACCACCTGAATTTCTTCACTATTGATCAGATAGTGATTTTGCAAAAAGAGTTAGTTTCAATGGGAGGTGAAGTAGAACCAAATGATTTTATTTACCCACTGCTATCAATTGTCAAACATGACTGTACAAAGATGGATTTGATTGATGCACTGATAAAGGCCAACACTGACGTGTCTAAAAAGGAAGATGAAGTAAAAAGTATGGTGATGGAAAACCCTGTTGTTGCAGAATTTGTTTCAGAAATAATGAAATCCGGTTTTCCTGAGACATTAGCAAAAAAAGCTTTGAGAGCAGGCATTGACCCCAATGAAATTGATGAAGGTACTGATTAATTTTGTGAAGTCTGTATCTCATATTATTTGCTCTATATTTCATTCAAAATTTTTGGCTCATCTGAGCTCTAAGTTTTTCTCATCATTTGTTGTGTGGTGCCCATTGTCTGCCTGTTCATGTCCGTCCATCCGTCTGTAATCCAACCAATTGTTTGACGTCTCAAAAATTGCTCGACCTATTTTAACTAAACTTGCCACTCAACCAGTCTTGCCACAAAGTATCCCCTTATAAAGGGATTCGGATTTATTCAAATCTTTCAAAGGGAGATAACTAGGTCACAGTAAAGATTCTCAAAATCAACTGGGGCAGAATAAAACAAATACTAAGTGAAAACTTTCCTTAAAATTGTAGATTCAATTTTTGGCTACAAAAGTGATTAAAATTTTACATAGGCACATTAGTAAATGTATTTAAAAATCTTCTCAAAAATACATTGGGCCAAGATTAGATTAGTTTTGCATGAAAATAGGAAATTGAAACACAAATTTCTTCGAATTGTAGCAGGTCCACATCATTTCATAATATCATATTTTAAAGGTCAAGTATAATATTTTTTTGAAAATCATAATTATTCATGATGATCAGCCTTTGGAACAATATGAACATTATATAGTCTGTTTAATTTTTTGTCACCAATTCCCATCACTAATCGTCGCTTAAATTTACCTGTGTGACAAGTGGATCTTTTATTGTTAATCGCTTCTCTCCCTTGTTGCGTGACGTCATAAGAGACAACGAGAAATAGAAAGTACAAACTTTATATTGCCAGGTTTGGAACATTATAGATAGTTTTCATATGACGTATTTTCTCTCCGAGTTATTTCCCTTGGCCGCCATCTTGGTGGTCAACCTGGTAATTTTTCCTCTTTGTCTTACCAAATCTAAGAGGGTGTACCAGACATATTTGGGGGAAAATCTTTATAGAATAAAAATTATGAAATAAAGGAGGCTTTAACAAATGTATATTTTTGAGAAAAACAACGCTTCTTACCCCAAAATGGCCAGTATAAAAAGTTAAAGTTGGTTGAATAATGAAGGAATATGAGCATGTTGACCTCCAATATGGCGGCCAACGGGAAATAACTCTTGCTAATTTGGGCTTACTGAAAACTATCTATTGTTGGCGAGATGTGACCTTGTGCGCTTTTAACTGTACCAATAACTTGGGACAAGACATGAGTATATATTTATTTCCTAATGACCCGAAATTGAGGAAAATATGGACATTAAATTTACAAAGAGAAAAAAAGAAGAAAAAAAAAAGTTGAACCCAATCAACATGCGACGCTATCTGAGCGACATTTTACACGGACTAGTCCAGTTTACAGCTTTATTACACAGGTGGTTGGGGACGGGACCCCCCCCCCCCCCCCCCCGTGTTCCGTACCCCATTGGTTCTTTGATTTTTTTAAATAAAATATTTTTCTATGACATATTCACAAAGTATTAGTACTAAAAAATCCAAAATTTAAGCTAAAACTGGCCTTTTATAAAAATTCATACCCTCTGATACTAAAACAGAACAAAGAATTTCTTGGTTTTATTTCAAATATATACTGTTCATTTGTTTGTCAGTTTGGTTATTAGCCGCAATACTGTTTGCAGGAAAGGTTTTAGGATTTGCATTACAGTACATGGATTTTACGATTTTTTTTTTTTTTTTTTTTTTTTTTTTTTTTTGCTTGTCAAGAAATTTTCTGGGTATAATACGCATGGGAAGGGAGTTAAGGTTTTTTTTTTCGTAAAGAAACAATCGCTACAACGTAAAAAAAAAACCCGGAAAATAATATAAAATATTTTTGGGTTGGAAAACTTCTGTAACATTACCTTAAAATCAAATGGTAAAATGAAATTGATGTAAAAAGTTAACTATACCAGATTTGTGGACAATTCTTTTTTTTTCAAGTTCACTAGTATGTCCTTTAAAGAAGTATGACGTTCAATTTGCTATTTGAAAAAATGATTTTTTTTTTTAGAATGTTTTATACCCTGAATTGGTCCTTTTATCGTAGAATGACTGATATACCGTAAAAGGACAATCTCTACAACTTGACAAAAACGGAAAATGATATCAAATGTCGAGGTATTGGTATGATAGACAAGGAATGTATGTATATTTGCTAAGTTATCGTGTCTAAAAAAACTCAGTGGGGATGGGAATATATATACACTAGTAATACGTCAGGTGCCTGCGCACAAGAATTCATCTGTTCTTCCCGAGGCGCTGATATACCAATCCGACAAATCTGCGATAAGCGAGATGTATGTAGAGTAGGAAATGATTAAGGAAATACCATTTGTATGTTGGTTTTTTTTTTTCATTGTGTACATAAATGCTATTCTTTCAAAGAAAAAAAAAGGTTTAGCATGGTGAAAGAATCAATAGCCGGGGCGGGGGGGGGGGGGGCAGAATATGGTGGGGGGATAAGCCAAAAAGATTATTGATAAAAAATTTTGACAAGCCAAAAGAAAAAAATCCAAACTAAAAAAAAAAACTAAAAAGGGGAAAGGGGAGGGGGTAGTCTTTTTCTCAATAAAAAAAATGAATATGCATGTATTGAGGTGTGGGAAATTGACCTTACTGTAACAAAACGGGGATGGGGTTGTTACCATCCTTTCACGAAAATTTAAAAGTAATAAATTACTTCTAAAAAAAGTAAGGGTTAAAAGCAAGAAATTAATTCTAGGAGAAAGTCAGGGGAGCACCCCCTCCCCCGATATTTCCTGCCTGTACGTAAGGCATTTTCCTCGGATATTATACAAAGTGATTGTTCCTCAATTTTACTGTACACATGCAATATTTGTTTTTCTGCAGCATTTATTTTCTCTTGCTGTCGGCATCGTAACACATTTACCACAGAATTACCACATGTAATCAGAATAGATAGTTGAATATTATTTTTTTTCTTTAATCTAAAAAACTAACTTAGGGTGATGTACTTGATTTTAAAATATTTTTTAATGAAAGCGTCTCATGGCGTAGCCAGAATGGACGTGAAGTGTACGCAGAGCGGCAGGGGGTCAGGAAGTGATGAGGGTGTAAGGCTCCAACTTTCAAAAATCAAAATTTTATTAATACATCACCAAATTACCCTAATTTATTTATTATAGTCATGATCATAATTTAAAATTCAAATCAAAACAGTAAGGCACAAAATAATTCGAAACACGAATATTTGTTGGAAGGGAATGATTTTTTTCGGATCTCTCTCCCTCTCTCCCTACTTATTTGTTTGTTTGTTGTTTTTTTTTTTTTGGGGGGGGGGGGGGTGTACGCACTTTCGTATTTGCATATCTAGGCAGCTACGCACCTGGAGCCTTCGGACGAAACAGAATCGGTCGAAGAAGAATAATCATTTTCATGTACTTTCCTTGATTGGCTCAAACATGTAGAGCCTATTCTTAACTAAAAGATCTACCTCTGGTATATCAACGTTCCCTATAATTTGCCATTTTTTAAGATAATCAAGAGCACTATATTATATTTATATTACTTATACTCTATTTATATTACTAGATTTTTCTGATGTTGATTGTCTCTTATGACGTCACAAAAAGGGGAAGTGACTCTATTGATAGACGTTATTTTTAGCGATTTTTAAACAGGCAAATAAAGACAACAACGAGGTTTAAAATTTAACGAATATTGTGATTCCCTCTTTTTAACTATTATTTACAACACATATCATTTACAAGTGTTTCTATTTCCTATGAATTTGACCTTTAAAATATGCAAACAATAAAAAGTTTTGAGGGTTAATGTTTTATTCAAATTATGGACCTTGAGGTTAGGGCGAGGATAAAATCCGTGATCAAATTTTACATAATGCATGTGTAGCGTGAAACCTTATAATGTAATTATAGATAGCAGAGGCGGCTGAGTTTCCCCAGTTAACTCTCTGAGGACCTGGCAGGTTCAAAATATACAAATATATGATCAAGCAATATATACAGATAAATATTGAGACTACCTGTCTTTAATCAATTATATACAATAAATTAAAGTTATGCTGGCTCTTGAGCGATCGGCTCTTACAACTCGGCACTTATAGTTACCGGCTCTTACAGCTCGGCTCTTTGAATACCGGCTCCTACAGCTCTTTTTTTTTTTAAAACTGGCTCTTACAGCGCAGTTCCTACAGTTCGGCTCTTTACAGCTCTTGCTGGCTCCCACAGTCACTTTCTTAATAACAAACAATATCTAAAGCCAGGAAAGACTTGTTCAGTCACGTCTAAAGCTTTAAATATTTATTTATTATCATTAACTAAAAGTTACTTCTGATCTTTAATGGTCCGCCGCTTGCAATTGTGTTGCCACTTCAGCATCAACTTCGCAATTAAATTCAACTCTGGCGCTTCACTTGTATTTATACCCTATGTGACCAACAACGCCATCTAGCGGAAACATGACTAAAATTCCGCTTGTACCGGAATAACTTTCCCCGAATTGTTTCAGTACCCACGCCTCAAAATCCATGCGACCTCGCATGCTCATTTTTTTTTATTAGATAAATTATAATACAACTCAGCTACCTGCTTTATTGATTATTTCGAAGTAATGATTAATCAGATATTGATACATTCATCTTTTAGGAAATTATACGCATACAACAATTTCAAATTGACAAAACAAACTTTTGCTTTCTCTACACAGTCTTTTGTCTCTCAAACTCATCAGTCTTCTTCAATCATCACAATGTGCTCAAAGTCTCTTTCACCTTCTCTCCACTTGGTAATTGTCCATTCTACTCTTCGAATCTTCCTTTCTGTTTGTGTACCAGTTACACAAACCTGAGGTTTTCTTACTAAAGGACGTGCTGGAAGTCCAGAAGATGCGACAAGGGGGTCCTTGCGCTTAGGAGCAAATATCGGCATTGGAGTTGTAGGTTTCCGAAAGATTCTTCCAATATTTGCATCTTCATTAACTTGTTTTACATTTGGATCCTCCTCCCTTTCATTATCAGTCTCGGAAACATCACCTAATATGC